CCTGCACACCCCACATTAGGGATCAAGCCCATCACTCTGGCATAGGCCCTGACTGGGAATCGAACCGTGACCTCCTGGTTCATAGGTTGATGCTCAACCACTGAGGCACACTGGCTGGGCAGTTTATGGTTTTTAGTTTAAGAAATACATCTCAGAGACAGTTAGGTATCATATCCAGCAATGATGATCCATGCTTCTTAGGTTCATGTCCATAATTTCAGTCCTTTGCCAGTAGATAGGTAATGGGCCATGGTTTAATACTATGATCTGGAAATAATAATGGTAATGATGATGGTAATAATAATAATGATGGCTGTTGTGCACTTATTCTGGACTATTCTGTGTTCCAAGGCCCAGGCTGCATCACGGATCAATTAAACAGAGCCTCTGTTGGTGGAACCCAGACATCATTCCTTCCTTGTTAAATGCTTCAGGTAGTTATAATATACAGTCAGTGTTGACAACCGCAGTCTTATGGGCTAAAGTTTAGTAAAGAACAAATTCTAGACGCCTAATGACAACTCACGTTTCTATAGCAACTGAATACTTGCAAAAAAAAAAAAAAATTCTAGCCCTAGCTGGTTTGACTCAGTGGATAGAGCGTCGGCCTGTGGACTGAAGGGTCCTGGGTTTGATTCCAGTCAAGGGCACAGACCTCAGTTGCAGGCTCCTCCCTGGCCACGCCCTGGTTGGGGCTCTTGCAGGAGGCAACCAATCAATGTGTTTCTCTCACATTGATATTTCTCTCTGTCTTTCCTTCTCTTTTCCACTCTCTCTAAAAATCAATGGAAAAATATCCTTGAGTGAAGATTAAAAATATAAATTTCTTTTTTTTTTTTTTTTTTAAATATGTTTTATTGATTTTTTACAGAGAGGAAGGGAGAGAGATAGAGAGTTAGAAACATCGATGAGAGAGAAACATCGATCAGCTGCCTCCTGCACATCCCCTACTGGGGATATGCCCGCAACCCAGGTACATGCCCTTGACCGGAATCGAACCTGGGACCTTTCAGTCCGCAGGCCGATGCTCTATCCACTGAGCCAAACCGGTTTTGGCAAAAAAAAAAAATATAAATTTCTAAATGTGCATTATCCAATGTTAGTTTTACACCCACTTTTAGAAATGCTATTACTAATTTCTTTATCTTTCAGATGCAAATGGATTTGTACTCAATGATACAGTTGCCCTGTCAGTGCCTCAATTTGAGATAGGCATCCATACATTCATATTCAGTAAATATTTAGGAACTACATAGAAGACAGTGAAATTTCATTTTTTATCAGAATTTATCACCAACTATAAAATATGAAATACACTGCTTGTTACCTACAGGGCAGAGGTTCTTGAACTTTATCATGCACTGGCATCGCCTGGAGAGAATGTTAAACCCAGATTGCTGGGCCCCATCCCCAAAGTTCCTGACTTGGCAGGTATGTGGTGAGGCCTGAGAGTTTGCCTCTCTAACGTACAGGTGATGCTGAGGAGGCTGGTCCGAGAACCACACTTAAGAAGCAATGCTCTAGGGCAGTGGTCGGCAAACTCATTAGTCAACAGAACCAAATATCAACAGTACAACGATTGAAATTTCTTTTGAGAGCCAAATTTTTTAAACTTCAACTATATAGGTAGGTACATTGTTATTAACTTAATTAGGGTACTCCTAAGCTGGCCTTTGCTAAAAAACGTCCTCAATCTGATTGAGGTACGTTCGCTGAGGTCGACCCCTTCCAACTCTCCCATCCACACTCGTCTTGTATACTTGTTTCGTCTATCTCCTTTCATTCATCCTCTCTATATGTCCAAACCATCTCAACATACCTTTCTCAGTCCTCGACACTACATCTATTTTTAAATATGTTTTTTATTGATTAAGATATTACATATGTGTCCTTATCCCCACTTTATCCCCTACCCTCACCCCCCTCATGCCCTCACCCCCCGCCCCCCTTTGTCCATGTCCATTGGTTAGGCCTATATGCTTGCATATAAGTCCTTTGGTTGATCTCTCCCCCTTACCCCCACCCTCCCCTACCTTCCCTCCAAGGCCCGACAGTCCAATCAATGCCTCTCTGTCTCTGGATCAGTCCTTGTTCATCAGTTTATGTTGTTCATTATATCCCACAAATGAGTGAGATCATGTGGTATTTATCCCTTAAAGAATATCCTTCAGCATTTCATATAATCCTGGTTTGGTGGTGATGAACTCCTTTAGCTTTTTTTTGTCTGTGAAGCTCTTTATCTGACCTTCAATTCTACATGAAAGCTTTGCTGGGTAGAGTAATCTTGGTTGTAGGTTCTTGCTATTCATCACTTTGAATATTTCTTGCCACTCTCTACTGGCCTGCATGGTTTCTGTTGAGAAATCAGCTGACAGTCGTATAGGTACTCCCTTGTAGGTAACTGTTTTCCTCTTGCTGCTTTTAAGCTTCTCTCTTTGTCTTTTGCTCTTGGCATTTTAATTATGATGTGTCTTGGTGTGGTCCTCTCTGGATTCCTTTTATTTGGGGTTCTCTGCGCTTCCTGGACTTGTAAGTCTATTTCTTTCATCAGGTAGGGGAAGTTTTCTGTCATTTCTTCAAATAGGATTTCAGTATCTTGCTCTCTCTCTTTTCTGGCACCCCGGTAATTCGGATGTTGGTATGTTTGAAGTTGTCCCAGAGGCTCCTTACACTATCTTCATATTTTTGGATTCTTTTTTCGTTTTGCTTTTCCGGATAGGTATTTTTTGCTTCTTCGTATTTCAGATCTTTGACTTGATTCTTGGGATCCTCTTGTCTGCTGTTGGATCTCTGTATATTATTCTTTATTTCAGTCAGTGTATGTTTAATTTCTGACTGGTCCTTTTCCATTTTTTTGGCATTTTCATTAAGATCCTTGAAGGTCTCACTAAGTTCCTCGGAGGTTCGTAGCAGATTCTTGAGTAATCTTATAACTGTGGTTCTGAACTCTATGTCTTCCATTAGCTTGCTTTCCTCCATTTCTTTCATTTGTGACATGTTTCTTTGTCTTCGCATTTTTGGCTGACTGTGAGGAGCCACTGTGTCTATAAGAAGAACTGCTGTGCTGGAGACACCCTTATGCGGTAGGACTTGCTTCAGTGGGGCTTTGGTGCTCACTGGGTCTGCTTCTTGAGTGTGTCCCTTATAGATGAGAACAGTTGAAACCTAGTCTCTGACCTGGAGTACCCTGGCTCCTGGATCTCCAAGTCAACCACTGTGTGGGTCCACCCAGCAGGGGCTACAGCAGTATCAGCAGATTTCTCCTCTTTGTTTGGAGTTTGGGAGTTTTGGAGCTCTCTGATCCAGCTGCAGTTTGTTAGGTCGCAAAAGCGCAGGTGCCACCGAGCACAGCTTGGGAGGGGATGTAAATTTAGAGGGGCGGGGTCTCAGAGGGTCCCCAGGGCGGAGCAAACAGCAATGGTGTCATCAGCGACTCCGAGACTCCCCGAGTGCCAGGCACGCCCCCACAGCAACAATGGTCCCTGCGAGCAGCTCTGTGAGAAAGTCACCCTCGCTTTCCGACCCGCTGCAAGACAGTCCCATTTCTCCCTATAGGAGCCTGGGACCCCAGCATCTCGCTGTAAATGAGTTCAGTGTGTTAGAGAGAGAGAGAGAGAGAGAGAGAGAGAGAGAGAGAGAGAGAGAGGAAGGAAAGAAGGAAGGAAGAAAGGGCCCAGGATCATCAGCTGCTCCAAATGTGCAACACTAGCTTCACCAGGCAGTCCCAGATGCAGCCTCTCACGGGTTCTCTCTTCTCCCCACAGGGCGCCCAAACAAGGGAAAATGGCCACAGAAAATCACTCCACGGTGGTGACAGAGTTCATTCTCCGGGGATTGACAAATCGACTCGAGCTCCAGCTCCCCCTCTTCCTCCTCTTCCTGGGGATCTACTCGGTCACCACGATGGGGAACCTGGGCATGATAGCGCTGATTCGCCTGAATGCTCAGCTTCACACCCCCATGTACTACTTCCTCAGCAACCTGTCGCTCGTGGACCTCTGCTACTCCTCCGTCATTACCCCCAAAATGCTGGTGCACTTCGTGTCAGAGAGGAACGCCATCTCCTACGCGGGGTGCATGTCACAGCTCTACTTCTTCCTGGTGTTCGTCATCGCCGAGTGCTACATGCTGACGGTGATGGCCTACGACCGCTATGTCGCCATCTGCAGGCCTTTGCTTTACAACATCATCATGTCTCATCACGTCTGCTCCCTGCTGGTGGCGGTGGTCTACGTCATGGGGCTCATTGGCTCAACAATAGAGACTGGCCTCATGTTAAAGCTGTCCTACTGTGAGGTCCTCATCAGCCATTACTTCTGTGACATCCTCCCCCTCATGAAGCTCTCCTGCTCGAGCACCTACGTGGTTGAGGTGGCCGTCTTCTTCTTAGCGGGATTCAACATCATAGTGACCAGCTTAACGGTCCTTTGTTCCTACGCCTTCATCTTCTCCAGCATCCTCCGCATCAGCACCACAGAGGGAAGGTCCAGGGCCTTCAGCACCTGCAGCTCCCACCTTGCGGCTGTGGGGATGTTCTATGGGACCACTGCATTCATGTACTTAAAACCCTCCACCGCCAGTTCCCTGGCCCAGGAGAACGTGGCCTCTGTGTTCTACACCACAGTGATCCCCATGCTGAACCCCCTCATCTACAGTTTGAGGAATAAGGAGGTAAAGGCTGCCATACAGAGAACACTGCACAGAAAAATGTTTTGATGCGAAAGTTATTCTTCCTCAACTTGAAAAGTAAGTTGTTACAAACACCAGCAAGAAGCCCTCGGAATGAATGCCCAACCACAATGGGGAACAATTACATTTCTCTACTCTTTTATTTTTTGATTTTTAAATCCTCTACAGAGGATATGTTTATTGATTTTAGAGAGAGTGAAAGGGAGAAAGAGAGAAACATCGATGCGAGAAAGAACATCAGTTGGTGGCCTTCAGAACACGCTCCGACCAGGGACCGAACCCACAACCTGGCTATGTGCCTTGACTGGGAAATGAACCCAGAACCTTTTGGGGTAAGGAATGAGGCTCCAACCAACTGAGCCACACAGGCCAGGTTTTGAGGGCTTACTCTGAGTCATACGACTCTTCTAAACGCTTTACATGCATTATTTTAATTAACCCTTACAATAGGTAGGCACTACTGTTATCCCCATTTTACAGATTTGGAAACGTGGTTTAGTCACTTGTCCAAGGTCACAGAGCTGGTAAACAAAGACACAGGGATTTAAACTCAAGCCGAAGTGACTCCAGAGCCCACACTTCTGGCTCTCAATCGTTATCCTCTTTGCTTTAGGCCAGTGGTTCTCAACCTTCTGGCCCTTTAAATACAGTTTCTCATGTTGTGACCCAACCATAAAATTATTTTCGTTGCTATTTCATAACTGTAATGTTGCTACTGTTATGAATCGTAATGCAAATATCTGATATGCAGGATGGTCTTAGGCGACCCCTGTGAAAGGGTCGTTCGACCGCCAAAGGGGTCGCGACCCACAGGTTGAGAACTGCTGCTTTAGGCTAACACTCCCTTTGAACAGCCTATGACGCTTGCCTAATTATGCTCCTCCAAACTTCAAGGGCCTCCTGAAAATAATTTCCCAGCCTCTCACTTTTATCATCCGTCCTAGCCTCTTCCCATTTATAAAAACTTCTTCAGGATGACTGGGGAAAGACTATATGAGAGTCACCAACTCAACCTGGTTTTAGAACTGCAAGTCCCATGTCCTGGGAGACCACGCGATCCCACACAAACCAGAACGCTTGTCCGTCCACGGTTACATGCTGCAGAAGCTCTTCCTGATTAAACAACCGACAGACCTACTGCCAACCTCACTCAGTGAACCCAGTGGCCACGGGACAAAGTTCCTCCCTGCCCCCCTTGTTTATAACGACATCAAGGATATGGGATTTGTGGACATCCCCTTGTTATTTCTAGCTATTTTGGGTATAATAGCCTACCAATCAGTGGTTTACTATGGGAAACAAAAATAACTCTAGTTTTCTCAAGCAGAAAGAGATTTCATACAGGGAATGACTTGCTTACAGTGTTTTTGAACGACTGAAAAGGGGATGAGGGAGCCCCCAAACGGACCCTGAAATAGATGTGACCCAGAGGTCAGGAAGCTCACGTCTGTCACCGGGAGTAGTGCCTTTCACACTCACAAAATGGGTAACTACACACCTGGACCCTCGTTTGAAACGCAGATTTGGGGGCCTGCTCCACACCCACAGAATTCCTGGGTGGGGCCAGCAGTCTGTGTTTTCATAAGCCTTTGGGTAATTCTGATACGTACTGAAGTGTGAGAGCCACCTCACTCCCACCTTCCAGATCTCACACCGATTCGCAACCAGGGTTTCAGCTACCGGCGAAACTAGGATATGTAATTTTTATTTATTATTTTATTTTTTTAAATGTATTTTTATTGATTTCAGAGAGGAAGGGGGAGAGAGAAAGAGATAGAAGCATCATGATGAGAGAGAATCATTGATTGGCTGCCTCCTGCACACCCCTGACTGGGGATTGAGTCTGAAACCCAGGCATGTGCCCTGACTGGGAATCAAACCGTGACCTCCTGGTTCATAGGTCGACGCTCAGCCACTGAGCCACCCTGGCCGGGCGGATATGTAATTTTTAGCTCTCAGGCCTGACTACCAGGAGGGTGGGAGGATTGTTGAAGAGCTGTTACTGCCAAGTGGCCACTCCACCCTTTCTTCCTAACTTTCCTCCAGCAGGAACTGAGAGCTCTACCACCACAGATCCCCTCTAATTAGAAGAAAATGTAGGAAAATATCTTTGTTATCTAAAGATGAGACACCACAAAGCCAAATAAATGGGTGAATTTGATAATAGGAACTGGTTGATTTTTGTTTAGTAAAGGACCCTGGGGATAGACTTAATAGAAAGATAACAAAAAGAAAGAAGTTATCAAACTGGCATCATTCAACATCAACAAAAGCAAAATGGGCACAGTATATAGAACAAACAGCTTACAGAACAGAAAACCCGAAGTGCCCCTCAGCATACGAGGAGATGCTGGAGCCTATTGGTAATCAGAGGAAGTGCAAAATAAAACAAGATATGTCTTCACACCCACCACTGGGCAAATCAACAGGTAAACTGTAGTGGAGACTTTGCAGCAGTTACAAGCAAAGGATTAGCTACAGGCTACATAGCTCAGAGCCATAGTGCTCTGTGAGAAAAGCCAGGAAGATGATGAGGCGTAAAACACACTGTTACTGGCAGTGCCCTCAGCGGCCCCCAGATCTAGCTCTTGCTTCAGTGGTGTTTCGACGGAACAGACCCAGGGACACCCCTTCTTCCAGCCTCTGACCACCCTCCAACTTCTTTTCCAGTCACCACTTTCAGAACCACCTCTGCCGTCCTCACCTCTGAGACCAGCCCGCAGTTTTTACCATAACTCCTATTGCCGAACCACCACGAGCTCCCAAATTCGTCAGAATTATTCCACCGAGGCTGAGGCTGCCGTCAACCGCTGGTCAACCTGCCTCTGCGGCTCCCACACCTACCTCTCTCTGGGCTTCTATTTCCACCACCACGCTGCGGCTCTGGAGGGTGAGTTGGTGAAGACGGTGGCGGGTGCCGAGCATCTCTTAGACATGCAAAACCAGCCAGGTGGCCGGGTTCTCTTCCAGGACGTGCTGAAGTCTCCCAAGGTGAGTGGGGTGACACGCAGGATGACGCCGTGGCCTCGGAGAGGAACCTGAACCAGGCCCTTGTGGAGCTGTGGGCCCTGGTTCTGCCCGCACAACCCTCAGCTCTGTGACTTCTGGGAGAACCACTTCCTGGGTGAGCAGGTGGTGAAGCTCAGCAAGAAGATGGGCAACACCTGGCTCACCTCCGCAGGCGGCCCCCAGGCTGGGCTGGGCGAGTGTCTCTTCGAAAGTTTCACCCCCAAGCACGACCAGGAGCCTGTGGAGCCCAGAGGCCTTTGAGGGGCCCTCTGCATCCCCTGGTGTCTGGTTTTTGCCTGAGCCTCACCCTGAAAACCCCTAGCCGTTCTTTTAACCGCCCTGAAGCCCACTCCCATGCATTGGACCGCATGGAAACAATACAGCTTTTTGCGGCAAACACAAAACCAAAGCAAACCAACCATGACGTTATTTGTGATATTAAAGTTACATGCACACAAACCAGAAAAAAAATATTTAGAAAGATAAAAATAACTAATACCCATTAGGCAGGTTAGAACGGTTACCTAGAGAGCTAAGATGCATGGAAGTAGGGAGTGAGAAAAAGAAACAGAAACAAAACTTCTTTTCCTAGAGTCCTAGACCCACCGCCAGGTGCATGCCAGTCAACACACCCAGGAGGCTCTGGCTCAGCGTTAGCCACTCCCCTGTTGAGGACGGAGACAGGCAGGCCTCTGCCCTTAATACTGTGGGCCCCGGGGAAAGACTCTCTAAATGTTTATTTTTATTTAAAAATACTTATTAAATGGATTAGGGTGACATTGGTCAACATGAACATAAAGGTTTCAGGTGTGGGTTTCTATGTTACAAGATCTGTATATTGCACTGTATCCACCGCCCAAAGTCAAATCTCCTGTCACCTTATATTATGACCCCTTTGTCCCCCCTCCCCCTTCTCTCTGGCAACCACCACACTGCTGATTGTGTTCACGAGTTTCAGTTTCATATCACACATATTCTAAATATTTAGAAGTTAAAAATCAAGCTAACAAAAGGCTAAATAACTATTTTCTCCTTCTTACCTTGACAACTATACCTTCATAACTAGAGAAGACCCTGTTTAAATTTAGAAATATGAGAATTCTGAGTTCCGTGCCCAGAATGAAATACCAAAGTGTGGACATAAGAATGTCCAAACCAGTAGAGGATTTTTATGAGTTTATTTGCACCCAAACTGACCCAAGGTGGCAGAGCGGGTGGAAGCTGCACTCACCTCCTCCAATGACCACATCAAAATTATAACTAAACGACAGAAGGATTAACTTGGAGAATCATCTGAAGACTAGCTGAACAGAAGTCTTTTAACTAAGGATATACAGAAGAAGCCACATCAGGAGTGGTAGGAGGGGCCCAGCCAGTGTGGCTCAGTGGTTGAGCATCAACCCATGAACCAAGAGGCTGCCGGTTTGATTCCCTATTAGGACACATGCCCAGGTTGCAGGCTTGATCCCCAGTGTGAGGCGTGCAGGAGGCAGCCAATTGATGATGTTTCTTTCTCATCAATGTTTCTATTTCTCTCCCTCTCCTTCCTCTTGAAATCAATAAACATTTATTTAAAATAAATAAAATTTCCAAAGCGATTTATGTGTCTGAAGAAAATATAAGTAGTTAAGGAAAAAATGAGATACTAAAAACACCGTATTTCCTCTAGCTAGTGATTACCATTCTTAATTACTTAGTATCTATCCTTCCATATATTTTAGTATGGATACATATGCCTTTTTCTCTGAACTGAGACATATAAACACACATATGTGTGTAACTTGCTCTGGTGTGTTGCATTTTTAAATACATGGTTTCATATGACCCCCTCCCTTCCAAAAATACCTGCCCTAACCACTTTTCTGGGCTTCACATTGGCTTCAGATTGCAGCAGGAAAGAGAGAAATCCACGCTGCACAATCATCTTTATACCTTAAATTACGGTGCCAGGCACGGCACCATTTATTCATGACTACAACTCTTTGAGTTGTGTTTCTTACCCCCATTTTACGATAAAGGCTTTGAAGTTCACAGAGAGGTTAAAAAAAAGTACCACTGTCATCCAGCTAGGAAGTGGCAGAGCCAGGATTTGTACCGAGATCAGACCCGATTCCAAAGTTTATTCTCTGAATACTTAGTGGAACCGTATAATTTACCACCAACTGGGATATTTCTGAGAATGACAGGGGATGTCAGCAAAAATGGCAGAGGAGGAAATTCCCCAGTCCTTCTATCCAGAGAAGCAATGAGTAAACTGGCAAAAACATTCAAAATGAACTTTTTTGGAACTCTGGATACTAATTAAAAGCTTGCAACAACCGGGGGACACAAGGGAGAAAGTTAAATCTCAGTAAGGGAGCTCTGTGGCATGTTAACTTGTTCTGAATGTGCCTCCTGCTCCCAGCTGAGTGCTGGCCTTGGGAACAACAGCCTGCATTCCTGGTAACAGAGCTTACTCTCCAGGAATTGTGGTTGTATGTTCTGTCCTGTCTGGTGGCTCTCTGGAAGACCCGCTCAAAGGGATTGCCTCTGTTTTGCCTAACCTGGAACTCTCCCAGGGCAGAGGCGGCTCGGGAGGAGGGAGGGGAGGGGAGGGGAGGGGGAGGAGGCCGTTTGTGGAAAATGTTTAGCAGCAGTTCTCAACCTGTGGGTTGTGAGCCCTTTGGGGGTCGAACGACCCTTTCACAGGGGTCGCCTAAATACATCCTGCATGTCAGATATTTACATGACGATTCATAACAGTAGCAACATTACAGTTATGAAGTAGCAACGCAAATAATTTTATGGTTGGGGGTCACCACAACATGAGGAACTGTATGAAAGGGTTGCGGCATTAGGAAGGTTGAGAACCACTGGTTTAAAGGCTAATGCATTAGTCACTGCCTCCTGGGGCAAGGGGTAACAGTTGGGGCAATAATAGATGAACCAAAATGTTTGGGAGGAAAAAAAAAAAAGTTTGGGAGGAGAGACTAGGGAATGAGATGCTGAGAGAAATAAGTCACACATATTCCTGAGAGCCTAGGGCCGTGGTCGGCAAACTGCAGCTCTTGAACCACATGCGGCTCTTTGGCCCCTTGAGCGTGGCTCTTCCTAAGCCTTAGGAGTCCCCTAATTAAGTTAATAACAATGTACCTACCTACCTAGTTTAAGTTTAAAACATTTGGCTCTCAAAAGAAATTTCAATCGTTGTACTGTTGATATTTGGCTCTGTTGACTGATGAGTTTGCCGACCACTGGCCTAGAGGACCACACACAGACTGTGTGCACATGCTCAGAAAAGACCTGAGAGGACCATAGGTTATCGCCTCTGATTGACCTTCAGGCAACATTGTTTGTAATAGCTCCTAAGTGGGAGCAACCCAAATGTCCATCAACTGACGCATGGATGAATAAAACGTAATGCATCCATACAATCGAATACTATTCAGCCCGAAAAAGCAATGAAGTAACTGCCACAACCTGCCACACAACACGCCACAACATGGACAAACCTGGAAAATATTATGCTGCGTGAAGGAAGCCAGACACAAAAGGCCACATATCATATGATTCTGTTGGTAGGAAATGACAGAATAGGTAAGACAATAGAGACAGAAAACAGATTAGTGGGTCCCTGGGGCTGGGGGCAGGAGGAGATAGGGAGAAAAGCCCACTTTTAATGAACCCCTGAGGTCTTATTTGCTCTTCAGTCCCAAGGAGAGTCTGTCTTATGGGGCTTATTTGAAGTTTGTGATCATGAATTGTTTTACTCTATTTGTAAAATTTCGTCAGTGGAATTGAGGACAGGAATTGGGGTTTAGTGATGAGAGTGAGGATGTAGCAAAATTCTACGTGAAAATCTCTCAAGACACTATCACTGCCAAGTCTTGGTTGAATGTGGGCTATAGAGAAAGACCAGCAATTATTGATAAGTGTATATGTGCATACACTCATAAACAGGCCTTTAAAAATGGATTTCAGCCCTAACCGGTTTGGCTCAGTGGATAGAGCGTTGGCCTGTGGACTGAAGGGTCCCAGGTTTGATTCCGGTCAAGGGCATGTACCTTGGTTGCAGGCACATCCCCAGTAGGGGGTGTGCAGGAGGCAGCTGATCGACGTTTCTCTCTCATTGATGTTTCTAGCTCTCTATCCCTCTTCCTTCCTCTTTTTAAAAACTCAATAAAATATATTTTTAAAAAATGGATTTCAGCCTCTGTTATGATTTCATAACTTCTCCACAGGAACTCCAGCGTATAACTCTGACCCAAAATATATCTAACTCACCTGCACACCGAGTCTTGAATTTCTACTAATTGAGATTTTTTTGTTTGTTTTGCTTTGGCTGAACAGTCTGTCCTCCTTAAAATAAAAGTGTCCCTAATAAGGAATGTGGAGTACAGGTGATCACATACCAGCTCTAGTCATCTTTGAAAGACTGAGTTTATTGAATCCCTTCCTGAAGGCAATTACAAAATGAATGGAACTTAGAGCAGACAGAGCTGGATGCCTGAAGAACAGAATTGGGAATATATAGGTACCTTCATGATATGGCCTTTGGTTTTTAAAAAATTCTCACAAAAGCCTCTTGCTCTTCTAAACTCTCCGTGTATCTAAAATTTCCTTCCTTCCAGCAGTGCTTTGGGTGAAGGTATGGTTACTAAAGCGCATGATAAAAGGTATTGCCTGAAAGCAACGTTTCATTGAACCATGTTTACCCAATAGGACATGAGAGTAACTGATATTACTGAACAAAACTCTGGCCATGTCTTTTTCAAGTAGTATTTGCAACTCCAAACCACAGGTCATAAAAAGCACTGTGGCTTCCTGTTTGCCCTCTGCCTTGGATCACCTGCTGGGAAAACCACCGTTGCCTAGAAAGAGGCCCTCCTGATGCGGAACTAAGACCTCCTGTCAACACCCAACAAGGCACTGAGACCACCAGCCAACAATCACTGGGTGAGCTTGGAAGCTGACCTCCAGTCCCAGTCAAGCCCTGGGATGTCTGCTGCTCCAGTCAACATCCTGATTGAACTTCACAAGAGACCCTGAGCCTAACAACCCAACTAAGATGCTTCTAAATTTCTGATCTACAGAACTTTTGAAATGTTTGTTGTTTTAAGCCCTCGGTTTCAGTGCAATTTTTATGCAGCATTAGAAACTACTGTATTTCAGCTAATACAGCGGCTCTCAACCTGTGGGTCGCAACCTCTTTGGGGGTCGAACGACCCTTTCCCAGGGGTTGCCTAAGACCATCGGAAAACACATATATAATTACATATTGTTTTTGTGATTAATCACTATGCTTTAATTATGTTCAATTTGTAACAATGAAAATACATCCTGCATGTCAGATAT